TCTTAATCTTTTTTGGTGCGTTTTCATACTCTTATAAGTTGAATTTTGTGGATTGAACTTTGGATAAAAGTGCATACACTGAATTAATTGATTAATTCGTAGAGCAGTCTAGTAGTCTAGCTGCATAAATTGCAATGAGCTCAATCTTTGCGAATGGGCCTGTAAATCAGTTTGGGCCCACAAAATTTACACCCTAATTTTATAGTGATTCCCATGTTTGCATGTACCGTGTTTTACTAATGGGCCTTAACATGTGGGCCTCATGCTATATGGAACAACTTGGTCCATATAGCAAAGAGTCCCTTACCTTTAAGCTATATATGATGTTGAAACTTTATCCTTATTCCCGAGTTGATTTTTCAATGTTAATGTGAAAAAATAAAAGACTTAAGAATTGTGAAATATATATTAAAATAATTTAGAAGTCTTTATTTTCTCTACTTTTACAAGTCAAACCTTGTGTGCTTCCATTCATAAGATTAGATGTTTACCTTGATGGAGAAATATGAATGATTATTTCGTACAAATTGTCGAAATTATTTGGATGAATAAACTTGATTGGTCAACAAAGGCTTATAGTCTTGAGAATGAAGCTTACATTCAACGTGATGCTGAAGGTTGTGTGGGTGGAATAGTTAACTTCATGCGTGTATAAGCATAATAATGGAATAGTTATCGCTAGCTCTATCCATTCAGTATAAGCATAATAATGGTTTTCATTCATACTAGCTACGAATCCAAACATATGCCACTGTGTGGGGGGAAAGTGACCACTTAAGAGGAAACACAACAATGTAACAATTGTTATGAGAATAGTGAAGTGTCCTTAATGAAAAAGTGTGTCTTGAACCAAAATTTCAAGGCAATAGTTTCATGAGTTTTATTTAATTATAAAAAATTTTATTTCTTTCGTCATATTAATTGTGGGATTTCACACTTAAATAAACTCAACAAAATTTCCCTCAAGTGTGAGTACCACACACTTATTGGTATGTTCTTCGTTAAGTTCATCATGTCTCAACCGAACTATTGGCTCTCATACCACTTATTGGATCAGACAAAGAGCCTCCAAACATTTAAGGTAATAGTTCTATAGACATTTTTGAATAAATCAGTAACAATCATCTTTTTTAACATAAGGTTGTTATAAATAATTACAGTTTAGATCGTAACAATGATTCTTTTTTTAAAAACATCCCACAACTTGTTGAATGGTATAGAAGATCAATATTTTTAATATTTATTAAGGGAAATGATCTACTTACCCCAATAGTAAGTGGAAAAACCATATTTCACGTCATAGTCATTCATTATTAGAAAATAAATTGGTTTGAATTGGTGAGTACATCTAAATCATTGGATTTTTCAAGAATATATGGATAAAATGTGAAGTATGTTTTTTCCATTTACTTCAAGAGTCTACTTACTCCAAGAGTAAGTGAATCCCTCCTCATTTATTAATATAAAGATTCAATTATATAGAAAAGAGCCTCAATGCATCTATTTAGTTACATATATGTGTTGTTGTCGGAATATTGTCTACTAAAAAGTTGATTAAAAGGTATGCATACATAATACATTACATTATCACTGTTTTCTTTGGCTGATTCACTACTATATCATTGTTCCAAGTTCTTTATTCATGATGTGCTATCCTGCAATGTTGTTTGGATCGATCTTCAAACTCTTTTTCAAATTTTATAATTATTTGTTGTAGCTCCCTTAGCCAATCATGCTGTCTCTATTCACATTTTCTGCTGTTTTGATTGAACTGTGGAAAAGAATGGGAAACAATAATAATGAAACTGTATAGGAAAGAAAATCAAAAGACAAATCAACACTAGTAGCTAGTTGATTTAGTTAAACATGTCTACTAGGATTAAATTTTATTTTATATCATATTTATGGAAAAAAAAGGTTATATGTATATAACAACTCACTCAAGTTAGACCAATGCGATATTCTGATAAATAAAAACAATTAATAATCACAATTAGATCTTCTCTCAACGGTTAATATTAAAAAATACATGTACATGAGTATCGTGTCACCAATAACTAACTTTTAATCATAATCATTCATGATTGATTGTAAGGTATATATTTATTGTTCTCGCAATTTTTACATGAAAACTATTCTCACTTGAGTCACTTGATATATATATATATATATATATATATATATATATATATATATATATATATATATATATATATATATATATATATATATATATTTATTGACTTTTGTTAATTGTTATTTGAGAAATGAAAATAATTAATATGAGCTGTTGAATCTTATTTTCTTATTTGAACATTTGACATTAAAAAATGGTCAACTAATAACTAAATTATTTTAATCATAATCATCCATATATTAAAAGTTAAATTAATTGTTATTATATATTTTTTTATATGAGAGCATATTGTAGGATGGAGTAGTGCCTAGCCTAATACTCAATCTTTAGCCCAAACTGATTAGGAGCCAAGGAAGTATTTAGTTGGTTTGATATATCTTTAGATTATTGTTATAAAATATGAGATTATAGACTAAAAACATAAATTAACTCATCTTTTTTAACAAAAGAGATATTAGGCCTATGCCTGTACAACTAGTTTGAAAGCTTCTTTCTTTTCTGTCTGGAATTGTTGAAAAGCTCACTCAAAGCTAGGTAATCAAATCACGGATACTCTTCTTTGCTTATTTATGTTTACTTTTTCATTTTTAATTATGATTATAAATTTATTTATTAAAATAATATATGTTCCTTAAGTTGGATTCAATCACACCCCAATAGAATCGAACTTTATTCGTTTAAGCAAAGACTTATTAATATTGGTTTGAGAAAGGTTAATAGGTTTTGTTTTTTAGTCCTTAAGAACATTTTAGGATGCTTTGGCAATTAAATATTTTAAAGAATTCGTTTTAATTATTGTTATCAAATAATATGTGATAATAAGTTTTTAGGTAATTAACTAATTTTTTTAGTATGTATAATTGCTCCTCCCAACAAGTGTCGCATCTAAGAATTAAACATCTAACATTTTCTTCATCCAAAAAGTGCCTTTGCATATTAATTGCAATATAATTACAAATTTGTATTCTTTTTAAACATTTAGAAAGTACAAATGGTGAAAAAGATGTTTTAGTAACTAAAATGCATTTTTTGAACATATAAAGAGATGAACCTAATTTTTAAAAAATTAATCATGGGTGGCAAAGTAGAACTATATATGTATGTCCTTGTAGAATTTAAAAAATGGCAGATAACTAAATACCTTAGTAGTGTAAGCAATAGCATCTCTCAATCACACTTCACTCACATTATATCTCCACAAAAAGAAACCTCTCTCTCTCACTTTCTTCCGTACCACAATACTTCCATTGCTACCTTTCACTGTGCATGATCCCACATCAATGGCTTCTCTTTGTCTCAACAACAACAACACCAACAACAACAACAACTTCTCCTCTTTCACTTGGCTCACTCCTCAACATTCCCTCTCCTCTGATAATATCCCAGATCTCGATTCCTCCGCCGGAGACTTTGAATTTCACCTTCAACATCCCGTCACCATGCTCCCCGCCGATCAACTCTTCTCCGACGGCAAGCTTCTTCCTCTCCACTTCCATCTCTCTTCTTTCACTCCTTCCTCCACCACCACCACCACACACTCTCACTCGCCGGAGGCGAATGTAACGGAGAAGCCGCCGGTGGAGCCATTCCTGTTCTCCCCGAAAGCTCCAAGGTGCTCTAGCCGCTGGAGGGAACTGTTAGGGCTGAAGAAGAAGCAACTGTCGCAAAACGCTAACTCCGATACTCTGAAAACGGCGTCGCCTTCTTCATCAACTAAATCAATAAAGCAATTCCTCCACCACCGTAGCTCCAAAACGACGTCGTCGTCGTCGTCGTCTGAAAACAGTTCTATTACTCTTCCTCTGTTAAAAGATTCAGACTCCGAATCCGTTTCAATCTCTTCTCGTCTCTCACTTTCATCTTCATCTTCCTCCGGTCACGACCACGAAGATCTTCCTAGACTCTCACTCGATTCAGACAAAACCTCCACGAATCCAAACCCTAACCCGATTCAGATTTCACTCCACAGAAACCCTAACGCGCATCCAAGGATGAGTTTCGTGAAGAACAGATCAAGTTCAATGGACAAAACCAACAACCCTAACCCGAATCAGGTAAACCGGGTTGCGAGAAACCCGATCCGGAAAGTTGAATCGAATGACGTGGATAGTCCAAGAATGAACTCTTCAGGGAAGATTGTGTTTCAGAACTTAGAACGAAGCTCGAGTAGTCCAAGTACCTTTAATGGTGGGCCCCGCTTTAAGCATAGAGGAATGGAACGATCTTACTCTGCTAACGTTAGGGTGTCACCGGTTCTCAACGTCCCGGTTTGTTCACTAATCGGTTCATCTAAACCCGGTTCGGTTTTTGGTCTTGGACCGTTTTTCTCGTCTTCCTCGACCCAGAAGAAAGACGGTGCTGCTGGTAGTGGAAGCAACAGGCACCGTTGCAATCGGTACTGACAAAAAAAAACGAAGAGACATGGGTAACGGTAATACTTAGGTTGTATTTTTTATTTGTTATGTTAATGTTTTTAAATCTCAGAGGAAAAATATTGCAGGAATTTGTTGGTTGATTGGGGTTTGGGGGTTAATTTTTGCTCTTATGTAACTGGAAAAAATGTTTGATATGATATGTAAATATGTGAGTGCAATTTTAAGTGTTAATGTTATTTGTTGAAGTTCTTGTTTTCATATTGCTTAAGCTTTAGAGTGTGATTGATGTATTTGTTTGTTATTTTCTGACCCAGAAACATATGGAAGTAACTTTTCTCTCCCTTTACTGCTTTTACTTTTTATTTGTTTAACTTCATGGTAAATTATTATCTGCACAGTGAAGTAACAGTGTAATCACGTTGAGCTTTTCTTCTACTTCTCAATTTTAATTTGTTTTAATTATTTTCTATTTGTGTGAATTGAGATGTTTTGGGAAGTGGTGCCAACGACTCAAACAGCTAGCTCTGCTGAATCGATTATTTATCTGCACCTCAGTCTGATCCCAAAACTTTGATGTCTACTATGACCCAGTGTTGTAACATGAATATTTTGTAGGAGGACACTCATTTGGTATCAATGATGTTTAGCCATGAACTTCTGATGGGTTAGTGCTTATATGATCATATCAAACGGTTATGTGTGACATCTAACACCCTTATTATGCTTAAATCATAAGATTCAAGGATAGGGAATGGAATGACATAGTGTTTCCAATTTTATATTTCTTAGAAATATGTTACTCGCTTAAACATAAATTTTATCTTGTGATTATAAGACCTGGAACTGAAATACCACCATATAAAGTTGGAATATAGATAAGTAGTCCTAGAATAATTGTGTTTTATGTTTAGACATGTGTCGAAAAGATAGTTAGAAATGACATTTAAGAATAACAGATCAAATTAAGATTAATTAGAATCTTAGAAGAAGATGTGGTCAAGATATAACATAGGTAGAATATGATTTATCATACCAATTATGATGTCATTTGGTTCATATAGTTCATAATACACAATATATAAGATCAATAAAGTCACATGATATAGACAAATTATCATTCTCATTTTAATAAATTCATACATGTTTTAAGGGGAAGCATTAGCTCTAATCTCTATGACTCTTTGGTGAGTGGTCCACCCATGACTCACCTGTGCTTGTTAGTGTGTGATCCTTTATTATAAGATTCAATTGTGTGGGACAAGTTTCCCTTTTCTTCTAATAAAAATGTACACTTTGGTCGGGAACATGCAATGAGTTTCCCATAACGAATTACCACCTTTCAGTGACTAGTAATTTATTTGGGTCACTATTAAGTTTCCCCTTTTTCTGTGTCCCTAGGTTTTAGTGGGTTGGCACAAATTTGGTTATCTTTTACCTCTCTGTTCTTTAGATAAATCTCTTTGCTTCGTCCCATTGAAGTGAAAAGATATCTGACAAAAGATTATATAGGTTTTACTCCATCTCTAATTGGAAATTGTAGGTCCATTTCCTATATCAAGCAATTTGATAATTACTATCCAAGTGTATAATTACAAGACATGCTCATCAAAACTTGAAGATTTTAATATTATTCTTTCGTTCATGCATTAACTCTTCAAAAGTATTATACATAACTAATAGATTATTTACATTTTATGTTACCATTGTTATGAACATGGTTTAAGACTTTTCAGTGACACACTATGAGCATGCCATGGTTGATTCGTTATGTGTCATTCCCATTTAATAGGCAGAATAGCAGCAACTAAACAAAACTCAATAAAAGAAGCAAAATCAAATGGAATTAAACATTAAGCTTAAGTACAAGAAATTACGAGAATGGTTCCATTTTTTATTATTTTTCTATATAGTAATATGCTAATGTCACGTGCCTAGCATTTTGTATATCTTGATCCTACCTACCACCATAAAACCCCAGCTCCATGTGAGAGAAAATTGAAGAATCAGGGTCTCGTACCTTTGCATCACTGTAAAAAGTGGAGAGAAGAGTTGGGGTAATCAAATCAAATCAAATATGAAACATAACAATATCGTGAATAAAAAATGATAGAAAGATGAACATTGATTCACTAAAGATGAAATAAAAAAATGCAACTTATTTTTACGCAATTTTTATTATCTACTAGTTATCATTTAATTTATCTTGTTTTTTATATTTGTTGTTAATTGTGATGTAAATATGTGCTTCTATCTTTTTTTCATCTTATGTGGTTCCTCCTATCAACAAATCACTTTAACAAATTCTTTAAAAATATGTGAAGTTATGAATTAAAAATGGAGTCCCAAAATTTGACAAACTCAGCAGCATTTACAAACGCCTTTGCAGCCATCTCATTTTAACTTAAAAGTTGTTTTAAAGCTCGGATTTTGATGTGTATAAGATGGTGTGATATGATATGGGTCATGTGTTTGACCAGTCCTTAATTGGCACCCACCAACTTCTAGAATTGGCATTGTTCCGAATTGAAATTGAATCCACCTTCTTCCACTAGCTTAGTGCTTAGATATTTGTGCTGCTAGTGTCATTTGAATACACCAGCAAGGCTACCTACCCCAAATGACCATAATGATTCATATATATCCAAATCAATCCTGGATTCTTGCCCTATAATTCGGTATTAATTCTCATTCTTAATTTCAACCAATTACTCGGAGATGGGATCACTTGTCTCAAAATGGTGCTCCCAATCATGTCTCAGCCAATCAAAGAATGAAAATGAAAAATAGAGGAATATTTTTTTAGTGAAGAGTAATGTAGATTTTTAAATGACGTGACACAATATTATTGGTTGGTACAAAGTTAAGAACATCATTTTGGGACAAGTGATTAACATCCATCACTTGCATAGATGATTTGGAACTAGGATCACCTCCAATAAATGAGAGACAAGTGCATATTTTTTACTGACAAAAAGTAAATTTATTATAATCAAAATAATATATACGTCATTAAAAGTTACATTTCCCTTTGTTTTATGAAGCACTTATCTTTTCCTTCATAGATAATATCCTAACTCAGTGATTTGATGTGATGGGTCTTAAAAAAAAGTTTAGTTAGTTTTAGCTAGTCAGTTGAAAATGACTTTCTCATTACTTTCTTTTCACTTTTCATTAGTTTAGGATACGTGCAATCATGTCTAGAGTTAAACCAGCTGAAAAGCAACATCAAGTCTCAACTTAATTAATCAAATATTGAATGGGTATTCAATGCATGGTATTGTTCATCTGATTTTATGTGCCTCTTTTTACAAACAAAACAAAAACACTTTGTTTGTTGAGTGAATTTAATAAAGAGAGAGCCTGCAAATAGTTGAGGTTATTTTGGGGTATCAAAGAAAGGAACGTGCTTATGGACAGCCTTCCCTCTGCATAGATTCCCCTTCTTCCAGTCCCTTGTGAGCCCTATCCATATGCATCTCCTCTTTCTTTAGTATTCAGTGGGTCACTGGGCAAAATGACTGAGGACTGTGTTGGATTCTTACTTTTTATAAGTAAGGGTATTCCTTACTTTTTTTTTTGGGTAAGTAACATATTATTAATCTTTTTCAGGATGTATGACTGAGTTTCTTAATAAGTGTACTTATAGAAATTAATTTTTTGACATTCTAGTTCATACGGGATATAATGAAGTCTTAAACTACTCGACCAACACTTTGTTGGTATGTATAGTTTGAGACAAATTGATAAATTAGATTATTAGTCTTCATGCTTACATAAATTATATTCTGAATAAATTGGTCGTCATACTTGTAATTTTAAGTGTATGCAATTCTTTTTTTAATGTTACAATTTCAATATTAACTTTGATTGTAATATTTAGGGGTGAGCAGGACCTGGTCTTATCCGCCCATCTGGTATGGCCTGATTGTGGTCGGATCTGGAAAGGGTCAGGTCTCATCGGGTCTATGGTCGGGTTCGAGTTTAAAAATTAGACTCAATCAATATTTAGGGTCGGGTAAAGACCAAACAAGACTCGTTCCGACCCGTCCCATTTCACTTTCTCATATATTTGTATGTGTCTCTGTTCAAATATATACAGAATAATGATATTTTTTTTGCCGAAAATATCATTGATTATCTAATTTTTCATCATATATATATATATATATTTAATAATATATATACACATATATTATTTTATATATCAAATTACATATTCAAAATAATAAATAATATTTAGAAGACTTTATGTAAAATGAGTATACGTTATATTTAATCGGGTCTAGGGTCGGGTCCGGATTTAAAGGCTGACCCTGTGAATATTTAGAGTCGGATTAATTTCAGGTCTAGGATCGGGTCCGAGTTCAGAAAAATGGTCCGAACAACATTTAGGGTTGGATAAGGACAAACATTAACTCATGTCAACCCGGCTCTCACCCCTAATAATATTTACTACCGCAGATGGATTTATCTTAAACTTGGTAAGGGAGCTTTGAATATTAAATTTTTAAATCTTTTTAAATACATAAACCATATGGTATCAAACATGAGTTTTGTATGACATTCATTACACTAACTACAGTATATTAAGTTTCATTATATTAGATTATTACATAATTGAGAATACAGTATATTTGAAAAGATTAACCATTCATGATTAACCAGTTGCTTTTGATCTAGACTTTAAAAACTTGACCAAATAAAATGTGATGGAGAGTAGCTGGTTTTGGAAAATATTCCCGTCCTTCTATTAGTTTACATTGCAAGGCCAGTTGCATTTATGGATGCCGACATCAAAATAAATAAGAATATAATATATATATTGTTAATATAAAGATTTATACACAATATTATATCATTCATCATTTATTTATATTACTTTTATTTGAATAATAAACGATAATTAAACATGAATATTAAATGAAAAAATAACAACATATAAAGTCTGTACTATGTTGGGGCTTGTGAAATTCTTGAGAATCACATCACAATATCTATATGAGCTGGACTGGGAAGGATAATTTGTTCTCGTTGGGTTGAAGTATACAATAAGCTATAATGGGTTTCTGCTTCTTTGGAATGTAATACCCTATGGACAATATCTTTTACTGTTTTACTGTACCTGACTTCAGAGTAACGTGTTCCACGAGAGAGTCAAATTCAATATAAGAAATAGTTATTATGTTCAACCAAGAATGACAATAGTTACATCGTTTTTTATCCTAGCTAGGGGTGAGTAGGACCCGATCCTTTCCGCTCATTCGATATGCTCGATCATGATCGAGTCTAAAAAGGATAGGTCTCATCGGGTCTATGGTTAGGTTCGACTTCAAAAATTAGACCCATGCACTATTTAGGAACGAGTATGGACAAAACATGACCCGTCCTCATCCGTCACAACTCGTCCTATGGTCACTCACTCATGACGTTTGTATGTGTCTCTGTTCAAATATATAAAGAGTAATGATATTTTTTGGTCGAAAATATCATTCATTCTCCAATTTTTCATCATATATACAAATTTAATAATAGATATTCACATATATTATTTTATATGTCAAATTACATATTCACAATAATAAATAATATTTAGAAGACTTTATGTAAAATGAGTATAGGTTATATTTAATCGGATCTATGATCGGGTCCGAGTTTAAAGGCCGATCCTGTGAATATTTATGATCGAGTTAACTCCGGGCCTAAGATCGGGTCTGGATTCAAAAAAATTATCCGAACAATATTAAGGGTCGGGTAAGAACAAACCTCAACCCGAATCATGTTGACCCCTGCCCAGTTCCAAATTTTATCATATTACATTATTTCATGTGTATCAAGTTTATCATAAGAACATAAAAAATAATAAATCACGTATGTAATTAAAGTTTAGATTTGAGGATCATGTGATTTCCTACGATAGGGGAAGATTTGATTCTTCTCTTACTGAGCGAACCAATGCATGATTCATAGGCCAAATGCTTAAGGGAAATAAGATTAATTGTTTAAATATCTTGTTTTCATAAGCATTTATTGCAAGGATTCATCACCAAACTGATTAATGGTGGAACCAAGATGGAACTGGGTTCCACAATATGTGTATTCATAGTTGATGAAAATGAAATGGGTTGATCTTTTCTACCATTTACAACCTAACAAAGCATGACACTTTAGATGAGGCATCTCTTAGGTAGCACCAAGATGCTATAGTTCTAGTTTCCTTCAAATTCAAATATAGAGCCTAAAAAAGTATTTAATATGAAATTGTCATTGTACAACTAAAAGTATCACTCACTCATATGGGTAATGAACTAATCTTTTTTGGGATATGTGTTTATCTATCCCAACAAATATCGCTCATAGAAATCAAATCATTGAATTATTGGTCTTTCGGAAATCAATCGAGACTTTATACCACTAGACCAACGTTTTGTTGGTAAAATTGTCTTAAATTTATGCCAATGCAATAGGAATTAAAAATCCTATACTATGATAATTTACAAAATGAATTGTGTAATATATCATATATCATTCTTAACACCATTCTCATACTTCACACATTATCATAAAGTTTTTTATTTATAAACTAAATAGAATATGATTTAAATCAACCGCATAAGTAGTTCCCATGAACGTTATAGTTTCTTGGGATGTAAAAATATGAAATTTTGTCCAAATAATTTTCAGTGGGCTACATACTTTTATCAGCAAAGCCTTTTTGTGAATAATTCTCATGATTTGTTTAACAAAAAAGGCCTTTATGTATAACCCGACCAATCCATGAGAGGATTAGGGTCCGCAGTTACGTAACACAAACACGGCACTATAAAACCCCAACCAGGATTTCATTTTCAACCATTCTCATCATTTGCAGAAACCGCTAACCCTAGCGATAACAAAAACGTTCGTTATCGAACATGAGAGCTAAGGTATTTATTCTATGCTTAATCGTTTTATTTTTCTCCAAGGATCACTTGGATTTTAATGATCCTGTTACAAATTCTTAGATATAGATTGTTTGTGTATTTATTGTCAAGTGTTTTCGAAGATATTTGTTGATTGTAGTTTTCGATTTGATGCTTCTTAACCTTTTCCATGTAGTAGTATATTTTTGTTCTTTGAAATATATTACAAACACCCATAATTGTTGTCCAAATTTAACCGGTGAAATGGTGAATGGTGATCTATGCTGTAGAGTGATAGCTTGTTCTCTGTCTGGTATTGCTTCTCAGTTTTCAAAATAATTTATAACTGTCTTGTTTGTATGAACTGTGAAATTTTGGGAAATGATGCTATATAATCAGACATAGGTTGAAACTCTGCTGAAGTTATTGTATTTGCACGTCAGTCTGATCCCAATATTTCATGTCTTTGATAGTAATTCTTATTCTCTTTTGTAAATTGGTTTTGTCTCTGATTTGATAAACTTTGATGTGTGGCTTAACGGGATTTCTTTTCTCTCAAACTATTTTATTTGGACCTTATATTCTATGCTAGCATTTCTCATTTTTTTAATTTTTTAATTGTTTTTTATGTGTTTAATCTTTGAATTTTTGGGAAATGATGCTATAAAATTAAACAGAAGCAATAACTCTGTTGAATTAATTTTTGATTTGCACGTCAGTCTGATCCCAAGACTACTAACATGATTTGTTGTTTGGAAATATAATTTTGTAAAAATTCTTTGTCTTGAATATTTGGAATTTCTTATTTAGTGTGAATGTTATGAAAGATATGTAATGTCAGATTATTTGTAAATGTTTGTGTGCTGTATCCTGTGCCCATTAGTGCTCTAACATATACTATTTAGTAGCTGCAATTACTATCTGTTATAGTTAATTTCTGCTTTTAATTTGTAGTTGTGACTAGTTGCTTTTGGAAAGACCTTAAGCATTATATAACCTGTAATCTCATCATGTTTCAAATCATGCCTTGCAGGCTTGCACTAGATATAATTTAATTTAAATAGTGCTCTTCCTTTCTTTCTTGGTCTTCCTTTTTGTTTTTTAGTATCTCTCTAACATAGTGCTGTGGTAATATCAGTGGAAGAAGAAGCGCATGAGGAGGTTGAAGAGAAAGCGCAGAAAGATGAGACAGAGATCCAAGTAGGTACACTAGCACAACCAAGAAGAGCTTACCCTTCTGTTTTTTACCAGGTTCACAACATTCTGACCATTATGGTCCCACTGTTTGAGGTTTGGTATTGAATGTAGGCTTCTTTTGTTAAGGTTTATCAGTATTGAACTAAGAGTGTTTAGTATGTATTATTGTGCTTTTGTGGTTTTGAACATGTATGTTTTGCTAGATATTATTTACTTAATGGCGTATTATTAATAACATTTTTTTCTTAGTGTCTAACTTTTTAGTTATGCATTACACATATACGCAAATACTTTTAGCCTACCTTTGGTAAAGGAATAATAGAAAGATGGTGGTAAGGGATGTACGGCAGTGAAGTTAAAGAGAAATAAACGGGACCCATTTGATTTGTTTCTCCTCTCATGTGGTGAGAAAATGGAAGAGTCTTTCTCTTCCTTTTCTTTCTCTCTAAAACCAAATATTTCTCCCATGTCTTACTCTTTTTAGTCTCTTCCTCACGTGATTCTCCTCTCTTACTTCTATTATTGTTTGGCTTGAGCGTTATCTAAAATAATAGTAAAGTAACAAACACAATTTTGCTTAATCCAAACGGTTTAACCTTTGCCTAATTTCTGTGCTCTACTACTAACGAGCAGCACCATCAGCAAATCTACATATATGGGTATATTTTGACTGTAAAATTACACTCTTTAGTGTATTTTGGTGTAAAAATTACACTCTCAGCAATGCTATTGGAGTTTTTCCATTATATTATTTTTTCTGTCCTCTCTCCTAATTCAGCTGTATGGGTGGAGTATTTCATTATTTTCCCTCTCCTAAATTGGCTCTCGGGTGGGAATTTTTCATTCCCTCCCTCTCTTCTAAATCTCGTCTACCACGTGTTTTCAATTGTGTATGCTTCTCATCCTCTTGATCAACATTCTCAACCACAACATTGTCACCAGTGTGTTGTGTATTAAAAATGTTTGTTGACGACATCTCAGGGCTATAATATTATCGACGAAAATGATGTACTTTGATTTAGCAGCTAACATTGATAGTAGTGAGGAGGTTCAAAATAATTGGTAAAGTGTGTTGAAGGGTTTATCGAAGTCAATACTTCCATCATTTCACGGCCACATAACTAGATATCGAATAATGATTGTACATGATTTATTTAGCAAGCTTGATGAGAACTGTGATAGCAAAAGTGTACTGCAAAAAAATAAAACAAAATTACAAAAAAATTAATATAATTAAATAAAAATAAAGATACTAAAAAATTAAATATTATCGTTCCAACGTAATATGCCCTATCTTCCGAGATGTATTTTTTAGTCCTTTGTAGGTAGCATTGCATAAAAATTGAACCCGCTGGTACTCTCCTAAACCTAACTTGAATTTAACGGGTAAAACTTGGATGTGATAGAGTTTTTGTTCGGGTTTTACCCGAGTTCAACTTTTGGACTTGGTATAGTTAGTACTTTACCATGAACTCGATTAATATATGTATATTATAAAATTATACAAATACATATATAAAAATGTGTATATGTATATGTATATATATAAATATTATGTTTCGAGCATGTTTTCATTGAGTTTAGAGGTGATATCATTGTTTTCAAACACTTAATTCGGGTTTTGGATTTTGGGTTCGGGGTTGGGTAAGCGCAAACTCGACTCGCCCTTTTGCCATTCCTAGTTACAATGTGGCGACAATGTTGGGATGACTATCAGTGACATAGTTTTCCATATCATTTCACATTTGATTCAACGACAATATTTATGTGGTCAGTCGTTGTTACTTTTGCTACGCAAGTCTATTTTGTAGAGCTTTCCATAGTCCATTAGTTCTTATGAGATTGAATGATTTATGCCAAATTGCCTCTTAACCCGATCTCTAGCATGTCATTTCACAATTGCCAAACAAATCCGTGGCACTTGTGATCGACATATCTCAATGATATTTAGCAAGAAAGTCATGACCATATAGGAGGTCCCGAAAAATGATAAAAAATTTAAAATCAATTATACCGATTATATTTCGATATCATATAATATATAAAGTAACCAAAACTATTTAACAATATATATAACAGTAATATATAATATAGAATATAAAGAAGTGATATAAAATATGATACATAATAGTAATATTGGTTGAACATTGTGCGTATGATATTGACAATATGACCAGGAATATTGGTCATAATCAAATGTTGTAACCACCTAGTACTATTTTCGTGTATGTTAATATATATTTGAATAAATATTGGTGATTAAACATTTACATAATTTATTACTAAGATAAATATATATCTTCTAACCAATGGAAAAGAAGGTAAAGTTGGGTCATGCAGTCTTTGTACAAACATCGTAATGTGATCATATGACCATGAATGAATTAGTAATAAACATTCTCTGATCTCCTTTTTGATCACTGATTATTGCTCCACGACAAATTCCTTGATACAGACAAGCCAACACAACTAAACCCCAATTGTATTTGAATGTCTCTGATAAGTCCTAATGCAAGGGCAGATGATGAGGTGGACTCGGTTCCATGTTGTATCTTACATGAGAAATCCTCTGACAATCCTCAAAATAAATGCTCTATAACATGTTGAATAACAACTTCGGTAGGATTATCTTGTTCACGAAATGTCTCTCAAGCCAAATGAGTTTCACCATATGCCCTATTAGTTCGTTGCTTATTGGGAAAACACCCAAGAAACGATGACAAAGTCCATCTCAATTCATACTTGTCATTCCGTAACATTTTGTCCATCAATGGGAAATTCAAGTTGGTAAGCAACATCCTTTAGAGTGAAATGCACTCTCCACATGGGAAATGGAAAGTGTGTGTTTCCGATCTTGATCTCTCAATCAATGCTAATAAAATATGGTTGTTGATTTCTACTGCTCCAATGCCAACATGTTAGAGAAAGCACTGTGACGAATAATTTGCAACTCTGGCTCGGAAGGTAGGGATTGTCATAAACAGTTTCGGGCCAGGAGACTACATTCAATCCCCCTCCATACATTGTTTTATATATTATTTTCTTGAAGTATTAGTAAAATAGTGTAAATTTGTCGTGGAACATTGTGCTCCATTATCTAGACTTAAATAAAATAGTAGTGAATGAATGGAGAGTGGATGAGAAGGATTTGACACTTAATGGAGAGTGCCTAATATGTTAATATTTAGATGATGTTTATTTGTATGGATAGTGAATGAAATGGATTTTAAGTACCATAGAAATCACTCTTTGTGGATATTTATTTGCATAGATATTTATTTGTATGGAGAGTGAATGAGAATTGTTACGGGAATAACAAGTATGGATTGAGATAGACTTTACATTCGTTTGTTGGGTGTTGTCCTAATAATAGGCCATGAACTAATGAGGCACAGGGTGAAACTCACTTAGCTTGAGAGGACATGTCATGAACTCCCATATAATGCTAGTAAAGTTGTTACTCAACAAGCTAAAGCATTTATTTTGAGAATTATCAGAGAATTTCTCATGTGAGATAAATGAGGGAACTAAATCCACCATATGTAAAAAAAGAAATCAGAGGATATCTATTACTACTTCAATTATGAGAATATGATCATATTTCGATGCTTGCACCAAGAATGGAGTACCCAACTTTTCATACTTTTCCATTTCTTAGAAATTGTATATTTACCTTAGTAATAAATTATCTAAATGTTTAATTATTAATATTTATTCAAATATGTTTATTAACTTACAGGTGGTCACAACTTTGATCACAACCTACATTCCTGCTCATGCTATCAATATTATACGCGCATCGACAAGATATATATTATATGCCTTTATTACTATTATATATTATATTACTGTAATATATTAAATATTATATATTCTTGTTATATATTATATTATAAATTGTTCTGGATACTTTTATATATTATACCGAATTATATTCAATATAATTGTTGTTATTATCTTTTTATATTTTTATGGATACCATATATGTACATGACTTCCCTCCCTAATGTCTTTGAGATATGTCGATCACTTGTACTACTGATTTGTTTCGTAATTGTAGAAGGACATAATCTTGATCGGGTTATGAGGCAATTTAACATGAATCAATATATCCTACAAGATTCATTGGAGTGTGCAAAACTCCACAAAATAGACTTGTGTGACAAAACTGATTACGATTCGCCATATAATTATCGTTGCTGGATTAAATGTGGAATGACAGGGAAACTATGTGGCCATTGATCTTCCCAACACTGTCGCCACGTTGTACCACTACTCACATTATATATAGTGTTGCTTACAAATGTCTAGAAGATAATCTCTCGAAATGGAGCATACTCTGCTGAAATTATAATATTTAATTTTTTAGTAAATATACTTTAATTTAATTATATTATTTTTACTGAATTTTGTCTTAATCTTTTGTGATCAAAGTTATCTTCCAACTTGTTTAATAAATCTCATACAATCATTATTTCATGTATATTCTGGACGTGAAATGGATACACAACATAATGTACCAACTATTTTGAATCTCATCCAACCCAATATTTTCATATGCCTGAAATTGAGTCTATGCAACAAACTCAGGGTGAAACTCATTATCAAGCTCATACTCAACAACAATAACAACCATATGGGTTTCATAATTATTTGTTCACCCATTTGTCATCAACTTATCAAATCTCTCTATGCCCATCAATATTTGTTGTTACTTCAAGTACACCATTATCAGCATACGATACTCAATAGTATTATCGTCCTACGTTGTCACCAACAAATATTTCCGTACACAATGCACTGATGATGAGGTTGTGGTTGAGGATGATGGCGAAGATGATGAGGAGCAGCCACAATTGATAACACGTTGTAGAGGCAGATTGTCCCAGCAGAATGAACAATTAAGAGTTCATCCGACAAGAAGGAGAAAACAACCGGTATGCGATACTTCATCACTTAGAAGTCATTAGAATTTTGGGATCTAATAAATTAGAAAAAATAATATTTTAACTTAAATATTAGTATTTATGTTTCAGTAAATAAATGTTAATTGTATTTCAGTATATTAAATGTATTTCTTAAAAAAATGTGAAATCTCATTTGCTATGATTGATTTATGAGAGTGTGAAAAACACTTAGGAGGGATGAGGAGAAAAAAATAAATATAGTTGGAAAACTAACATCCTGCAACCGATTTAGGAGGGAGACAAATAAACGTAGGCGATTTATGAATGAGAAATAATAAAAAACTCCAATAGCATCGATGAGTGTGTAATTTTTACACCAAAATGATAAGTATTGTAAAAGGTGCCCCAATACTGAAATTTGATGACAAAATGCACCATATATGTAAATTTGGAGTTTGGCTCCTCTCCTAAGAGGCCAGTGAGCCCTCAGATTGCGACACGTGTAATAAAAAAATGTACGGCTGAGATTTAAAATTGTATTACGTGTAATCGATTACCATATGGTGTAATCGATTACACCAGTTAAACAGTGTAATCGATTACCCAGTTAGACAGTGTAGTCGATTACACAACCCTGGTAATCGATTACATATTTTAAAAAAATAGAAATACATGGTTCTGACAAGTGTAATCGATTACCACATGGTGTAATCGATTACACCAGTTAAAAATTTAAAATACAAACTCAAAGGCTTTCTGTAATCGATTACAATGTGAAAAATGCACATATCTGATGCTTTTAATATGTTGTAATCGATTACGAGTATAGTGTAATCGATTACATCATGTAAAATGCACAGGTCTGATTAGTTTATCATCATGTAATCGATTACCATGGTTGTGTAATCGATTACACTGTTTTAATTGGTGTAATCGATAAAACAGTGTAATCGATTACACCATATGGTAATCGATTACACGTAATACAATTTTAAATCTCGTGCCGTCCATTTTTTTTATTACACGTGTCGCAATCTGAGGGCTCACTGGCCTCTCTATTACAGGAGAGGAGCCAGACCCGTAAATTTGTGAGCATCATCTATCCTAAGATGTTGTATGTGTATCCTTTCATGTATTTTTTCATTTTCATTGTTCCGAAAATTTAAAGTTAGCATATATTTAATTTATATTTTACTTTTTTTTCCATTAATGAGAAATGAATAATACATGGTATAAACGTTGGGATAATAGATGTGACTGAATAAGGATAGGCCCTTCAACCTTACGCTCAATCGTTCTTCTTTCTTAATGAAATTGGAGTTTTGTCTAAGAAGATGATGTGTTTCTCGAATCGCTTATATGGCCCTCTCTAAATATATCATACCATATTTGTTCAGTAGCAACATAAATTTTTTTCTCTTTCAAGTCAAGTTTGGGTGTAAGCAAGCGATGAAATAAAAGATTTGTAGATATTTCAATTTTCTGCATTCAAAATTTGAGATCGATAACAAACATGTGTTTGAAGTATTTTATGCATACATTTTTGTACGGGTTTTACATGATTTGACACATCAGCTATTGATTTTTAATGTTCACATTAAATTGTATCTCTGATTAATTTTATTGTGTTAATCAATGGTAAGAACTAACCTTTCAAAATAGCTATCATAGATCAAACCTTGGCCTTTGGAGTTTGGACAATATCAAATTTCTTGGGTAGTACTTGTATTAAGGCTGGTTTATGAGTTCATGATTTGTGAATCTACTACATCTTCAGTTTAATTTCAACAATGTTGTCTCAGTTAGAAAGCGCTGCAAGGCAATCCTACCATTTTATCAATAGTATGAACATTAAAAACTTGTAACAGAAACAACTTTGTCCCTTTCATAGGCTTATAAGTCAACAATCAACATAATGAATGCTTCACTTTAGCTACAAAATCAGTTAACTTTAGTAGTTCAAAATTTACAGATCCCAATTTATGCATGCATCAGGACGTGACCATGACACAAGTCTCTCTCCCGTGAATGAAAAACGAAGGGTGAGCCTTTTCAGTACCGGAGATGGAAGTACATCAAAAGAAAAAGTCAATATGATATGAAATTTCTATCCATGAGACCATGACACTTCTATTGTTGAAACCCAGAGTAAAACTAAACAACTTCTTTCCCTAATATTGGAGAGAAAACTTAGATTTTTTTAATTTATATGATGTGTAATAAAAAATCAATAGAAATATAACATCAGACAACTATGTGAATATTGGATACAATCAACATTGGATTTTAGAAATTTATTTATTTAAAAAAAAAATATTTGATACTTCATCCATATATATTGCTAAAGTATTATAAAATATTGATACCAACAAGTACATATGGATATAGATACATGAAGGATATTGAAGTATCACTGGTGTAGGAGAATAACATCAGCACCTAAAAGAACTGCATGTAAAATTTGTCATACATACACAATGCCATTACTTGACCTCAGTAATTATAACATTTCAAACCACTTGCAGAAAAAGACTAAAGGTCCAGTACCCTGTAAAGCATAGTCATTTTTAGTTGCAGAATATGTTGTTAAAGTGAAAGAGTAATAGCCTAATGTTCACTTCGTCTTGAAAGTGGTTGCACAAGAAAACCAGTTTGCGCTATTAGAAGCTAATGAATCAAAAGCCTGATGAGAAAATTTTCATTTTGGTGATTCTAGATGTAATACAAGCATTTTTAAAACTGAGATGATTCAATTTACAGCAGAGAAGAAAATGTATATACAACATTCCAATCTCCGCTCGAAACTTTTGATTACTCATCACTAGATTTAGTAATGATTCAATTTAAAGCATTCACAAAAAAATTGTTCAACCAACCAACTAAACTAACAACATTTAGATAACTTACAAAGTCGTGCTGAAAAAAGCGAAAATTCTCTTGATTCATATGCAACAACAGTGTCGACCTTGTTTATCTTCTGCTGTTATATACTTTAAAAGTATGCATCTCTACATTGTTGGTTCCTTGAAATCATACTGCAAAGAAAGCCTCTCAACAGTACTTTGACTCAGAAGCTGTTTTGAGTATAACTCATTCATAAGATCAACTGCCATATCCAATTCTTCCTCAGAAGCAAGCCCTTCAACAAGAATGGTGTATGTTATCTCATTAGGCATGCATCCTTTATCAATCATTGTCAGAACTTTCTCCATTGCTAACTCTGTACTTCCATATTTGCAAAATCCAAGAATAAGCGCATTATAGTTATCGATATCGGGTTTGTAATCATTTTCTTCCAAAACCCTGAAAATCTCAACAGCCCCATCTAACATTCCCTCCCTACAAATTCCTCTTATCAAAGCTGAATAAGTATAGGAATCTGGAGTGAATCCTGACTTTGTCATTTCATATAATAACTGAAATGCTGGAAGTGTATTACCTTTCCTACACAGACTTGTAATCACTACTTTGTAAAATTCATGCATAGTATTTGATTTCTGTTTATTACCTAACTTCTGGATTACAAAGAAAGCCTCTTGCACCTTTCCTTCGTCGCACAGCGCAGCAATGGCATTGTATGTTCCTTCATTAGGATTACAATGTCGAGAAATCATTTGATCTAGACACTGAACTACAAAATCTACTTTCCCTTCCTTGCAGCCACGAGCGATAATTGGATTATAGCTCGTTGTGGTTGCCTTGAATCCACTCTTTGCCATTTCATCTAAAACTTCGAGAGCATCTTTGGTTCTTCCATGGAGCGAGAGACAAGTAATTAATATGTTATATGTAACAAAGGATGGAGACTGGTTCATTTCATATATCTCGGCTAAAAGCTCATTTGCTTCATCCCAACGCCCTTCGAAGCATAAATTCCTCAGTATAATGTTATAACTCACAACATTGGGATCAAACCCCTTAGCCGGCATTTCCCTAAAAAGCTTAATAGCTTCATCAGTTCTATCTTCCTTGCATAAACCAGTTAACAAAACATTGTAACTGACTAAATTAGGCA